AGGAAATGAGAAGGCCTGGTGCACCTATATTATCTGTGCTTGTGTTTATGGAAACGTTTTAGATTCCTGGCCCAAAGATAGACACTTAACAATTCTGGTAAATGTACTTCTCTGGGCCAAGGCCGGGCTCTGGCTCCAGTTTCTCTCCTGCAAAGATTTGCTGCCCTTGTGTTTGCGATCTCAAACAGTGACCAATTCTCAAAGTGGACTCATTATTACGCTTATGTGCTAATGTCTTCTGAGAGAGCATGCTCTAAGAAAGGATGGTGGCTCAAATTAAAAGGAGAGGAAGAATGGGAACTAAACAGTTCAGCTCCATTTTTGTTATAAAAATGGAATGTTCTGATATTTGCTAGACTGCTGCTTAACAATGTCAGCATTGACTTATTCCTCTGCAGATCTTCAGGCTTTTTGACATTATTATTTATGACTCAATCATATTTCAATCTGGATATTAGCAGGAAGCTGCTACCAGGAAAAGCCTTTAAAACCCAAATCATAATTTTCTCCTAGCCGTTTTGGCAGGTGTGCAGCAGACAGACAGTAGGTTTGGAGAGAGCAATTTAGGATGACTCGTCTGAGACGCTAAGTGCCCACTCTCAGTTTAGAGTAAGAAATGGTCACCATTTGTAAGGATGACAGGTTGGAATATTAGGATCATTTTATAAGTTCTCTTTATTTGCATTTTAGTAATATCTCTTAGATTTGAGGCTTTGTGCAGTATCAGAGCAAGATTCACATATTGTAAGGATAAAAGTCTCAGAGCTGCATAAGGATGATTTTGAAGTAATCATACACCCTTAGTGTTTTGGTACCATAAACCAAGCTAATATTATTTTTCTTTTCCTCCAGCTGGTGTCATAGATGAAGATTATAGAGGAAATGTTGGTGTTGTACTATTTAATTTTGGCAAAGAAAAGTTTGAAGGTATGTTAAATACATATGGTCACATAAATGCAGTGAGTTTTCCAGGTAATGTATGTCTAAATAACACATACTAACACCTCTGATTCTCATTGTATGGTACAAGAGAGGATGTAGAGAATGCATCAATAAAATATGAGGAATAAATTGTTTGTTTTTTTTCCTTTGAAGTCAAAAAGGGTGATCGAATTGCACAGCTCATTTGTGAACGGATTTTTTACCCAGAAATAGAGGAAGTTCAAGTAAGTATCATAAAAGCTGAGTAGGGAATAAATGATGTAACATCTTGAGTGAAAGAAAAATAAAATTTTGAGAATTTAATATGCTATTTGTAACTAAATACAGCTCTACCTCAACTTAACAATGAGATTATGTCCCAATAAACCCATCGTAAATTGAAAATATCATAAGTTGAAAATATTAATATGCCTAACCTTCTGAACATCATAGCTTGGCCTGTTCTACTTTAAATGTGCTCAGAACACATTAGCCTACAGTTGGACAGAATCATCTAACACAAAGTCTGTTTTATAATGAAGTGTTGACTATCTTACGTAATTTATTGAACACTGTGCTGCAAGTGAACAGCAGAATGGCTGTACGAGCACAGACTGGTTGTAAGTGCATCAGCGGTTTACCCTCATGATGGCGTGGCTGACTGGCAGCTGCAGCTCACGGACTTCACCCAGCATCACAAGGCTGTCATGCCGCATATCACTAGCCCAGGAAAAGGTCAAAAGTCAAAGCACAGTTTTTACTGAATGCATATCCCTTTCACACTATCATAACATTGAAAAATCATAGTCAGACCATCTGTAGTGGAATATGTGACTAGTCCTATTTTAAGCAATATTAAAATCTTAGTTTAGAACTCCTTGAAATGTTTTCCATAGCTGTTATATAGCATTGCTTTGCATAATAAACCATTTAAATATGCTGTGAAATTCTGTTCCCTTAGCTTTTTTGAAAATTATTTAATACTTTAATTTATGGAACTTCTAAAAAAATTTTTGTTTTCTTTCTGTAATCTCCTTTTTGAAAAAAAAATGGTATAGCACTGATAAAAGTCCTACAAATTAGGAGCTGGAGAGAACTGGAAGAGGATCTAAGTTAACTGCATGGCTTACTCCCCTTTGTGTCTTTTCAGGTGTTAGATGACACTGAAAGGGGCTCAGGAGGTTTTGGTTCCACTGGAAAGAATTAAAATTTATGCCAAGAACAAAAAATGAGAAAATGTACTTTTTCCTTCAAAAATAAAAACTTTGCTTAAAGTGTCTTGGTGTTTTGTGCTTCTGTAAACTTAATAGCTTCTAAAAATATTTGGTTCTCTTATGATCAAGGAAAGGGTGCCTCTGTTGAGATTGCATGGAAATTTAACTTTCCTGTGTTTTTCTGCAGTTGATTGTTACATGAATCTGTGGTGACCTCATGCAGTTTCTTTTTTAATTAAATGCACATCAATTACAGATCCCCCAAGAAACCTGTATTAAAGTTATTTCTGGTTCTTCCCTTCTCATCATTGGTCTAAAAAATGTTTTTTAAACTTAAGATTCTTTGTGAGGCTGGGAAGAAGATCATTCTCAGTTTTTGTTTTGCTTTTTTAATGTTTTTATTGAAGTATAGTCAGTTTACAATGTTGTGTCAATTTCTGGTGTACAGCACAATACTTCAGTCATATAGGAACATACATATATTTGTTTTCGTATTCTTTTTCACCATAAGTTATTACAAGATATTGAATATAGTTCCCTGTTCTATATGCTATAAATTTGTTTTATCTACTTGATGTATATTAGTATCTGCAAATCTCAAACTCTGTTTATTCCTCCCCCCATAACCATAAGTTTGTTTTCTATGTTAGTCTGTTTCTGTTTTGTAAATAAGTTTGTCTTTTTTTTTTTTAATTTAGATTATACATATAAGTGATAGCATATGGTGTTTTTTTTCCCCCCCTCTTTCTCACTTCACCTAGAATGAGATTTTCCAGGTCCATCCATGTTACTGCAAATGGCATTATTTTTTATGGCTGAGTAGTATTCCTTTGTATAAATATACCACAACCTCTTTATCCAGTCATCTGTCAGTGGACATTTAGGTGGTTTCCATGTCTTGGCTATTGTATATCGTGCTGCTGTGAACATTGGGGTGCATGCATCTTTTGGAATTAAGGTTCCCTCTGGATATATGCCCAGGAGTGGGATTGCTGAATCATAAGGTAAGTCTACTTTTAGTCTTTTGAGGAATCTCCATATTGTTTTCCATAATGGCTGCACCAAACTGCGTTCCCACCAACAGTGTAGAAAGGTATCCTTTTCTCCACACCCTCTCCAGCATTTATCGTTCGTGGACTTTTGAATAATGGCCATCTGACTGGTGTGAGGAGGCATTGGGACCAGGGTCTGGTGTGGAGAGCCCTTTATCCTGGGACATGGGGCACGGCTGGAAAGGTAGCTGCCCCCTTGCTCGTCATGCATCTTAACGTTCGTGGGGAACCTGGTGCTAAACCATTCGTAGGCCTGCTTCTAGGTCAGAATTTCATAGGTGACAGAGGAGCCCCCTCGCGATTTGTTGAAGTTGTGGATTTGCATTTCTCTGGTAATTAGCAATATTGAGCGTTTTTTCTTGTGCCTGTTGGCCATTTGTATGTCTTCATTTGGAGAATTGTTTAGATCTACCCATTTTTGTATTGGGTTTGTTTTTTTCTTAAGTTGTATGAGCTGTTTGTATATTCTGGAAATTAAGCCCTTGTCAGTATCATCTTTTGCAAAATTTTTTTCCCATTCCATCAGTTGTTTTGTTCTGCTTATGGTTTCTGTTGCTGGGGTAGATTGTCCTAGGAGAACATTGCTGAGATGTATGATCAGTTTATTTTTTATTTTTAGTTCAGTTTTTTGGGGTTTTTTTTTTAACTTTCCTTTTTGGTAGACCTCAGGTTGACTGATAGAGGTGTATTTGTGAAAGGAAATGTAGCTTGGAATTTCCAATTGGTATGTTCTCAATTTCTTTCTCAAGTAAGTATGTGAGTTTCCCTCACTGTAGTAGCAGTAATAGGCTGTATCTAAGAAACAATGCAATTTAATAGGGATAAAATGGATGTAATGAGGTGTGCTTAGGCCACTGGGTGTGTCCAAACCAAGTACCTTTGAGTATGTCTAAGTAGCATGAATTAGCTTGACTAACATCTATTGCAAACTTCTTAGTGTTCTTTCCTTTTCTGCATTTCCCAGACCCTTTTGCACCAGGGCTTTGGGGGTCACCTAGGCTTTGTCAATCAGACAGATGCACTAGAGTGAGACTCCAGAGGCACCTTTGTGCAGGGATGGGTCACACAGATGGAGTGCTTCTGGGGCTGGCAGCTCCCTTGGCCACCTAGTTCTTGGAAGCGCAGACTAGAGTTTGTTTCTTCTGTCCATTCAGTGATTCTCTAGGCCATTTGATACCCTGCAGTGTAGAATTTACATTACTTTGGAAATGTAACTGGGTCACAATTCATTAGTCATGAAATCAACTCAGTGGGTCGTAACCAGCATTTTAAAAAATTGAATAGAAAAAAAGCAGAGGACAACATGTCAGATGGGTAAACATTGTGAAGCTTATTTGAATTACATATTTATGCGTGTGTGTACTGCATCATGGTATAAATCACTTACGAAACTAGTAAAATTTAAGTAAATCCTTTTCTGCTAAACTAGCCAGAGTGGATTCTGTTCTCTGAACTGTGACCAACACATAGTAACAGTTGACTGAGAACAAAGCAAGATGTGACTACCAAGAGATGTGGCCTGAGCTTACGGTGTTAACCCTAAGTCCACTATATTCAACACGTTTACAAATTTGTTTCTCATCGCATACCTGTGGGAGAATGGATAAAACGCTCTTTTTATAGGTGACAAAAGTAGGCTCAGAGACATTTAGTAACCTGCTTAACATTTCAGCTTACGAAGAACAGTGTTAAAACTCAGGTCCTACGGCTTCAAAGCCCATGTTATTTGCCGTATCTTCAGTCTCCCAAGTGGTAGAATATAGAATGGAAGAGATGGTTAATGAAAATCCTCTGGTTCATACCAGGAATATATTTCCATCTGGGTACCACACTTAAAGGAAGATGCTTAGGTCTGAAGCTACTCTACAGTTAGAGGCTTGGAATGATATCCATGAGGGTTGATGAAAGACTGGGGGTTTGGAGAAGAATTTGCTGCGATGGCAGGAATGTCTGGGGAGGGGCTGGCTAGAGAAGGTGCCTGGGATGTGATAGATGTTCTTAGATTCTAAGGATTCAGAAAAGAAATTAGGCTTGTCATCTGTGACCTGAAGGACTGAAGCTAGGGTCAGTGGGTTTAATCTATAGAAGACAGTGGCTGTGATATAATAGAAAAAATATATATTGGTCTCTGACCGCTGTTCCTGGCACAGAGCTCCTAAAGCCCTTGTAATTTTGTGGGTGATTAGAGTGTCTTGTTCTAACAGGGTGACTCTGGGTGGGCCCCTGGATGAGGGCCGGTCACCAGAAAGACCAAGCCATGATTAGAAGCTTAGAATTTTCGGCCCCTCCCCCATTCTCTTGTGGAGGAAGAAGGGCTGAAAATGGAATTAATGATGGGTCATTCCTACGTGATGAAGCCCCCATAAAATCCCCAAAAGAGTAGGACTTGGAGAGCTCACAGGTTGGTGAGCACATGGAGGTGCTGGGAGGGTGGTGTATCCTGACAGAGAGTGGCAACTGCCCCTTTGTACATATCTTGCTCTGGGTTTTCATCTGTATTATTTATCATATCCTTTCATTTAAAAAAATGGTAAACAAGTGCTTTCCTGAGTTCTGTGAGCCGCTTTAGCAAATTAGTTGAACCAAGGAGGGAGGGTCTTTGGAACGTGTCATCTGTAGCTGGTGAGAAGCCCAGGTGATGACCTGGGCTTGCGGCTGGGGTCTGAAGTGTGTGTGTGTTGGGGTGGGAGGGGGTCGGTGGGGGAGGGTCAGTCTTATGGAACTGAGCCTTTAACCTGTGGTATCAGGCTGTCTCCAAGTACACGGTGTCAGCATTGAGTCAATTTGCATAGAATTGCTTGGTGTGGGAAAAAGCCGCCACACATTTGACACCCAGAAGTGAACTGTTTTCTGTGAGTAGTAAGGGAGACTCACGGGGAAGAAAGACATAGTAGGGAAGAACTGGGTTTTCCCCTACAGAGGAAGGAAAAAAAGCGATTTTTCCTTAACGGGCATAGGGCAGAGTCATGGAACTCCTCTAAAACAGCAGAGAAAATGCAGATGCCATATAGAGAATGCAAAACAAACAAACAAAAAAAAGCAAGTGCCATGTGGAAGAGTACAGTACAGTCTTGGGCTGGGATTATTGGAGACATTTTCTGTTATATTTGCAAAGTTTGAATATTTTACAGTATTTTTACTTTGTTTTATCATGAAATATAACATTTAGAAAAGTGTGTAAGACAAGTGGATGGTACAGTGAGTAACTACAAAGCAGGAACACCTAAGTAGTGGTCTGCACCGGTATTCTAGGCAGTGGGATCCTGTGTTCATAAGGCTTGGCTCCTGAGCTCATTTCAGCTTTGCCTTATTTCAATCAGCTAGATTCGGTTGGTAGCAAAGGAAAACCAGAGAGCATCACTTTATTAGGGCAAGTCTTCCTTTCCATTGGAAAGTAAACCGGTTTTTTACCGATGGCCAAAGAGAAGCATTTTCACATGCAGGGCTGCACTTTATGATTATCAGTTTACTACAGATTGAACAGCAATGACCATTTCATCCGTCTTTTCCCAGGCTGAAGCCAAGCAGTCTTCCTCTCCCTTGACATGTCTGCTTTGCTTACTAGCAATGCCCACTGTCCACTCCTGCCCTTGGTATACATCAGAAGAGAAATAATTAGGGGGACTCCTACAAACCAATCTGATGCTGCATCTGTTCATTTACGCTGGTAGCTGTCTGCAGAAGCAGCTGCGGACTAGTATTCAAACAGGTGACCTAGCTGGATTGGGTGGGGGGCGGTAAAGCCTAAGGTTTGGATTTCCAAGGATCTTCCCAACCCCAGGATTTCCTGCTTCATGACCATCTCCATCCCACTGGAGATGGCACAAGATTATTTCCTCAAGTTCATTTTCTATCTAATGCAAGAAGGCTAAGATATGTAGGTACTTGGAGTTTTGTATTTGGGGTTAATGGACCTTGGACTTAATTGGCAAATTACGTGATTATTGAGTCCAAGTTGTCAAATAGAGCATTCTCAGCAGGGCTTCTGCCTGCCCCAATCCTCTGGCTTTGACCATCCCCAAATCACAATTGATCCTGTTTCTCACTTGCCCTTCTTCCCCGCCTGCATCTTCAGCTCCAGCAGTGGTCCCTGTTAGGAGGATACCCACAGTCCCCCAGCTCCCTTTCCCTACTGCGAACCTCTACTACACACCCTAAGTGATGGTGATAGACTGTCAGTCACAAAAATTGCTGATTACAGAGGATAGGAATCATCTGGGCCAAAATTCAATGATAATTTTAGTAATATTTGTAGACTCAGTATCTCTGGATATACAGGAAGTTTTACATGTAAAACTCATGCTAAGAGGCATGTAATCACTCAAGTAAAGACAATACTGTGATCTTTGATCAGGCATTTGGAGCCATTTTATCTTCTGCTTATTAATCTAAAATATACTATTTTATGTAACTGACTTGATCCTTTTAGCTGAAAAATACTCTCTAGTATCATCATCCTAACAAGAGAGGTGAGGTGACGTGAGGAGGAACAACATCTCAAAGCGGAAATAAAATGCCTTTTGCTAAAAAGACACACCATTGAGAAATGGATTATGTGCAGTGTTTTGACATTGCTCTGTTCCTTATTGAAAAGAGAATGAGAAAAGGGAAATAATGTAAATGAAACTCAATTTTTCACCAAGGGAATCGTCTTGAAGTATATGAAGAAAAACAAAAATATATTAAAAATGATCTCCCCTTATTAGCAACTAAACATTGTTGAGTTGGGAGAATTTTTAAAGATCCAAGAGGTCTAAAGAAAATATTTAATAGCTATGAAAGTAAGATTATAGAGAGAATTTAAGATTAAAAAATTATTAAATTATGTCTTAGTTTGATTCTAATTTTTTAAAATGGGTTTTACAGATTAGTAAAGAAAATTCTGGAAGAATATATTCCAAAATAATGACTCTCTGGCTGTTCCAATTGCTGGTAATTTTTTTCTTTTTTGTATTATCAGTATTTTAACTTTTTTTAGCATGAAAACTACATTATTTGGATAAGAAAAGCACTTACAATTTTATGATAAACTATCTGTTTAATTTTGATTACATTTACTATTTATTGAATATTTTAATATTGAAAATATGTGGGAAAATTATGACTATAAATTATAAGTTTTGAAGAAAAAAATATACAAGCTGGTCAAATGGAAAAACACTAGCTTGGGGAATTTTAGACCTAAGTTTTAGTTCTGCTCTTTTACTAACTAAAAGATCTTGAGTAAATAAAATAACTTTACGGCTCCTCAATTTTCTTAGCATAAAAGTAAGGACAGTGCGTCAGATAATCTCCAGGGTCCCTTCCTCTCTTCTATTCCATTTAGTGAATCTTATGGCTGCGGTGAACTACTGCCACCTGGTGGCAGTTATCTAAAATAAGGGGCCTATGTTTAAGGTACAAAATCACCAGCATGAATTCACTTATGCTTCTAATTGCCTGGCATCTGTGTGCTGGGCAAGTGCCAGCATCATCATTCATTAAGTTCAGTGTTTTTCTAGATGATATAGATGAGACAACTATGCTAGCTGCATGACCTTGAGGACATCATTTAACTACCCTTGAGTCTATCTTTCCATCTGAAAAATAAAGATAATATCCACCTTATGTTATTATAACATTTAGAGTTGATGGATGTAAAGTATCTCATAGTCCACGGTGAAGAATATTTGGTCAGTAAATGGTAGCAATTATGTTCAGGAAGGTAACCATCCAGTAGGGGGAATAAGACAAGTATAGAAATCTGTGCAGTATGTGATATGCCCTGAAAATACAAAGAAGGCACAGGGCATATTCAGAAAATGGCAAAGCCAAAGTTCAAATAGACTGGAGTGTAAAGGACATGTAGGAAACTACTGGCCACTAATGGAACTGCAAGTTGCAGGTTCACTCTGCAGGGTCTGAAACGCCAGAGAAGAAATGGCCAGCTGTGGAAGAGTTTGGGGCAAAGAGTAACATCCCCAGAGCCGAGCTTCAGGAATATTGATATTAATCTGATGTCTGCGACAGTGAGGTTAAAAGGCCATCACCAAAACAGCCAGGTAATGGGCACAGAAGATGGCAGAAGAAAGATGGATGGGAATGATACTGAGAAGCTGCAAAAACAAAAGTGACCTAATACATTGTTAGATTACAAATGAACTGCCTGTGTCTAAGGGAGACTGAGATGTGTTTGGGGCCAGGAAACAAAACCAAAGCAATTGTAGGGCAAGGGTCCAGGGTTTCTGATTCGGGGTCTAACACCCCGTCTCCACCCAGGAAGGACGTTAACCCTCTTTTGCACTCAGGTGTGAACACTGAACCAAATCTGAGGTTGGCCTTCTCATCAGACAGTATACAAGTAGATAGGAAAAAAAAAACTTTTGGTGACTCATGTCTAAGGTGCCAGGGACTAGAGGGGAACTATTATGACAAAACACTCTTCTTCATGTCCAACAACTTTGAGTATTAGAAAGGGCATTATACTTAGAGGAAAATAAAATCCCAAGTGTGCCCCATTCTGTGGGATTTATAGTGACTTAACTTTAAGTTGACATGAAATATTTTTTTTCTGGCATCTTAGAGAAGCAAGCAATTTCAGAGGGGGTGTTCTGACAAATAGTAGCATGGATCAGGACAAATGACAGGAGGCTCTCGTGAGATATACTTTGTCTAGAGCAAAGGTAAATAATGATATAATCCCCTGCAGCTGTATGTTTGGAATGGCAACACAGGGGAAATAATATGAGAGCAAGACTCATGTTATCTTGGGGGTCCTGTCAGATGGGGAGAGTAGGGTAATTCCATGATATGTGCAGTAATATGGCTCAGAAAGAGAAGGTGCCCGTTGACTAAGACTGTGTTTGATTATCATAGATGAAACACTTTTTCATACTCAGAAAAATCAATCTGAAGTCTAAGAAGAGAAGCCGTTTGATGATAAGGCAATAAAAACTTCAAAGGGTAACTTAAAAATGTTTCCTAATTCTTTTCAGCCTGAACTTATCCCCGTGCCGTCTCACGCTGTCTGCCAGTTCTTTCACTGGAATATGTTACCCAGTCTCCTTGGAATCATTGCCGGGTCTCCTTGGAATGGAAACTGTGTCGGACTCCAGGGGTGAGTAGGAGGGAAAATGGTGCTGGCAGAAGGAGAGGAAGTGTTTTTTCAATTTAGAGCCAGAAGTAAGGGCTGACATTGTCTCGCATGTGTTTGGGGACAATGGCACATGCCAGTGGTAACACGTCCACTTTTCCGAGCCCCTCGCTCAGAGGCTTTGGCAAGTGGCTGCAGAAGCCAGAGTGCCTTCTCCCTCCCCACCCCCACATCTCTGAGCCCCTTTCCTCCTCCTAGGGAGTATTGAAAGAGGACAAGAGGCACAGCGCCCACCTCTGTGTTATTAGCATAGTCATCCAGAGTGAATTGTCTCAGTCTTCCTGCACATGTATTTTGAAGTGAAAAGTCTTTTTCCTTCCATGACTTCGCTTCCTGTCTTCCTAAGCACACCTCTTGGGGGGTCTGAACATTCATCTAGAGCTGACTTCAGAGCTGCACTTAGCAAAGCCTGCATTTTCTAGGCCAACGTAGACAAAGGGAAAGGAGCCCTGGCCAGCTGTTGCCAACTAAGACAGGAAGAGCCTGGTTAATGCCCATGCACCTCCCTCTCCCCTCTCTCCAAGTCCACGGTTGGGGGCAGGGTTCAGACTCCCCCCGCCTCCCGTGCACCTCTGATGAGCCTACTGTGATAATTGCCTCGTCCTTGGCTACTGTGGTAGAGCTGAGTAGCTGAATGAAAGGTAAATCACTTATTTATGTACAACACAACGTCTACATTGAACATCTTTTGTTGAAAGGCAAAAGTCATCCTTTGGCCACATTTTACTTGTTATTTCTCCCCAAGACTTGTTTGGAGGCATAGAATATCATTTTTCAAACTGCTTTGTCCTGACATTATCTGCTGTCAACTTCTGTTAGAATCAATTGTCAGGGCTCCAATAGGATACAGATAGTAAGGAGAAGAGAACGAACCTTTTTAAAAATGCTGTATGCTCCAGGGGCTATGCTAGTTTGTTACTTTTACCTGATGGCATTTTGTAAAGCTGGGGCAGAATTCCTTTCAGGGTGAAAACTGGTTTCTTTATTTTTAGGGAGTTGGCAAACCATTCTGATGGGCTGCCCCAGTATTAGAGTGGGGCCTCAGAGCTCCAGGCATGCTTGAGCAGTCTACGAAGACAGAGAGGCAGTGGGACTCAGAAGTTGTAGGAGGGGATCCCAAAATGTGGTGGAAGACTAGTCAGAAAAGACACTGGAAGCCAGAGAGATCTCCCACATCAGGGATGGCCAAGGAACTTATTCTTTCAAACACTTCTTATGCAAATTTCAATCGTTATAAAAGTAGTGTGTAGTATGATGAGCCCGGTGTACTCATCACTCAGCTTCAACCGTTATCAGCTCTTAGCCGATTTTGCTTCTCCTTTATCCACACCTATACCCCCAACCCCAACCCCTAAGAATTATTTTGAAACAGAGCCCACACAGAGTATCATTGCATAGATTACATTTTAATCTCTCTGCTGAGCCATCTGTGCTGTCACTCCCCTCCTATTACCCAAACTTCAACAAAGCTGACCACCCACACTGCTTAAGTGTCACTTTGGAAGAGGGTTAAAAAGCAAAAGAAAGTTTGCATTTAGGCCAAAGTGGGTAAAGAACAAGACAGTAGTATTAAGCTTGATGCAGAGCTGAGATTAAGAATAAGCAGAACTCCCAAGAAATCTTGAAATTATTGAGAGAATGGAGGGGAAGAAAGGGATGCTAGATTTTCTCGAGGAAGTCATAGGAGGGCTTCATGCAGAGCTGTGTGTGTGAGAGAGAGAGAGTGTGAGTGTGTGTGTGTGTTTTATTATTAAAATGAAAGTGACTCTAAAATACTGGAAGGCTTGGGGACAACCAGACAGCTGGCATTTGGGTTACAGTTGCATATTCCAAGTTTCCTTTCCTTGAAAGGAAAGAAAATACTAAATTTAAACACCATCTTTCAGTTTCTCAGTCAATAATTTCCCTTTCTGTCTCTTTCACAAATGCAGTCTCTAGACATCAGTGCGAGGAATTTATTCTCCAAGAAGACTTTCAGACACGTGAAATTTCTGGAGAGGAATTGTTCAGCAATTCCAATCCCAATTAAGTTTTCAACTGTTTTCTGTGTAGCCCTGATTAAGTCACTATTTTCAATAACTGGTGGTGAGCCAGCAAAAAATTACCAAAGTTTATGGAAAGTGGACCTAAATGCTTGCTTGATTATCTCACAGCACTCTGAGGGAAAATAGGGGTTTATTTGGACTAAATGTAGGTTTCTGAATTAATAGTGCTCTTTAAGTTTATAGATCAACAGAGGAATTTGGGACATGAAATGTCTTCTTCTCTTAAGAACCATATACGCAGTTGGTGATTGCCCAGGTATGTCCGTTGTTGGTTATATCATGACCTTTGCAACTTAAAGCATGAGTTACAGGTTAGTTACTTCTGAGATGCTTTATCTGGACAATTGTTATTTACATGCTAATGGAAAGGTTTTTTTTTTTCTCTTTGAGAAAAGAAGACAACTTTCTGATGTGATAACTTGTCTTTCTGCCTCAGGAAAAGACAGGCTCTATCTGAGAAATACAATGTACCAGCAATATGAAGACAATATATTGTTGAGAATATTGCTATTCAGAGGCCTTGGAAAATAACACCCAGACATCCACTAGATGTCACTTGATGTTTGCTTTTTGTAAAGGTAGCATGTTTCTTTTTTTAAAAAAAGTTTATCTGCAATTATGAATCGTGGACTCCCAGTGGGTCCCAACTGGCAGAAAACAAGATGCAGCAATATTTGAGTGAAAGCAGGCAAAAGTCATTAAATGAGAACAATGATTATAACTTTAAATAAGATTTGGGTGGTTGTAGGGTTTGCATAATCCCTCCTGGCATCTGCGAGGATGAAGAGAAGCCAGTGCTCTGCCCTCCTGCTGTGTTTAAACAAAAAATGGAAAATTGTAATGAACAGCTAGATTTTTCCTATCTTCCATTTTCTTTTTTCTTTTTCTTCCCTCCCCATTCTTAGGAGAATGCAACTTTTAAAAGGATTGCCCTCTAGTGAAGTTATTTTGCAGTATTTTCAGACCAAGTTTTCTTTGTTCAGATTTCTACCCACAAATTAAAACTGCTTTAATTCACATGATCTCAGGGAAACATATGTGACAAAAGTAAAATTGGGAAGGTGTCTAGAAATTTTGTGAGGGTTCATTCTCTGGGGTTATCCACGTCCTGCATTTGCTAAAAATCTAATAATCAGTTCCAGGAGAGACCACGTATCCTGCGGTTTTGTTTTGTGTAACAGCCATTTGTTTATTTTTTTTAACTGTCATTGTATTTTTGCTTCACGATGGTTAAATAAGACCCGGTATTAAGTAAACTTCTCTGACCCTGCCTGTTTCCTGTCTTGTCAAACCTTTCCTTGTAAGAATAACAGTGTTCTTTTATTTGGTAGTGTGCAGCATGATATTTTTGGCATGCTCAACATTTTGGACTTGCAAAATTTCGGGACCTCAAGCGTGAGAGAAGTGAATGCTTGCTTTAGTGCCTCATTGGGTTCCCATCTGAAAAACGGTCAAGTTGTGAAAGAATTATCAGCATACTTACTCTCCAAACAGCACCAATGATAAATAAGAATAGATTTTTTTCTTTACGACATTACTAACATTGGTAAACCATTTTGCTGCTACTAAATTTACATGATTTCTCAAACTGGCCTCGCTATACAAAGACACGGTGCTTTTACTTACTGTGTTCTGTCTAAATACTCCATATTTTTAAAAACACATTTTCAAACCAACACACATTAAGTGGCGCAGGCAATATTGCTGCTCCAAGTAAAAGAAGAGAAGAAATATCCAAGTTGCCTCATCTTTCCACATCCAGATCTAAACAGCTGTCAAATGGATTCTTTTTTTTTTAACATTTTTTATTGATTTATAATCATTTTGCAATGTTGTGTCAAATTCCAGTGTTCAGCACAATTTTTCAGTCTACATGGACATATACACACTCATTGTCACATTTTTTTCTCTGTGAGCTACCATAAGATCTTGTGTATATTTCCTTGTGCTTTACAGTATAATCTTGTTTATCTATTCCACAATTTTAAAATCGCGTCTATCCCTTCCCACCCTCCATCCTCTTGGCAACCACAAGTTTGTATTCTATGTCTATGAGTCTGTTTCTGTTTTGTATTTATGCTTTGTTTTTTTGTTTTTGTTTTTTAGATTCCACACATGAGCGATCTCATATGGTATTTTTCTTTCTCTTTCTGGCTTACTTCACTTAGAATGACATTCTCTAGGAGCATCCATGTTGCTGCAAATGGCGTTATGTTGTCGGTTTTTATGGCTGAATAGTATTCCATTGTATAAATACACCACCTCTTCTTTATCCAGTCATCTGTTGGTGGACATTTAGGCTGTCTCCACGTCTTGGCTATTGTAAATAGTGCTGCTATGAACGTTGGGGTGCAGGTGTCATCCTGATGTAGGGTTCCTTCTGGATACAAGCCCAGGAGCTCAAATGGATTCTGTAACAGAAGAACCACCAAAATCAAAAGTCTCAACCAAGGGCCCCCCCCCACCCCTTTTTTCTGAAGGACGACAGTTTGATAGCATTTTCTCTTTTAGTTTATCCTTTGTTTTTCAATAATGCACACACTACAAGAATAAAAACCACGGTGAACATCTCTTGCTTTTAAAGATTGATGACCACTAAATATCTTGAAATACTGAGAACTAATTGGAACATGAAGAAAGGAGATAGGGTTGACTTGAAGGTGTTAAAGAACAAATTTTTATGATCACATAGCAGTGATTCTGGTTATTTTCTGAAAGTCTCAGCTAAAAGTAATTTCCTAAGTATCTGAAGTAGATGGAATTTGGTAAAACTACTGCCGTGAAGCCGTTCTCTGGTTTTTTATCTTTAGTCTAGAAATATTGTTCTAATAAAGAGCCTGTGATAGATAGTTACAAAGAAAAAGTTGAGGACCTGAAAGGACACATTCATCATCCTGACCTGGAACACT